CGCAAATGAGTCAGGAAACGGTTTTCAGTCAGAAGTTCTCACACTATATAATGTTAAAAATAGGAGTCAATTAATAGATTGTACAATGGCAGATTCATGGAAATGGATAAACACTAAAGGGATTTCTGATGCCAAAAGAGTAAAGCCCTTCCACTAGGTTACAGAAATAGATATGTTAACCTCGAAGATCTGGGATACGATTTAGTCGACAAAAAATCCGTATAATAGACTATTATGTTTAGTCGACTAATCTGGGAAAATGCCGAAATTGCCCTAACACAATTCAAATCATTACACTTCGTGCTTAACTGCCCATTAAATTAGAAGACTTGGAAAAATAGCGATAGAATTAGCTGTCCCGTTAGCAGAGTTTGAAAGTGCCTGGTGGCTTAAATAACATATTAACAGATCACTATATAACGGCGGATGGCATATAAAAGACCTCCATTTGATGGTAGGCCCACCTGCATTGTGCCTGGGTCTATACCAAGATTGAGAATACAAGAAACACCAGGTATATTTACCAGTAATCTATATAAGCTATATAACAAGAAGTCCTCCAGTTAATGTATACCCCAGGTATAATATAAGTTTTTAATCGGTGGAATGTAACATACTAGAATAATTTATATGGCGATTTACAGTAATATCCAATTGAGAAATTGGATAAAAATCAACACCATATGTGAAATTTGATATTGTTACATCCAGTTTAAGCGAGCCAATCTCATTCCGGACCTCGTATTAGAATTGGTAATTAAACACGGAATCAATAAAGCGATTAAGATTCTGAAATATGTCGGTGAAAAAGATAATTGCAGTAAACATTAAATAAAGTACGCCACGACATTCTAGGGACTCCCTAGGTTTAAAATCAAAAAAAATTTTTAATCCTACTTAGTCAACGCCTATAAACTAATAGCGAACAAGAAATTTTGCGACCTTAAAAAATATTGCCTTTCCCTTTAAATTGGTACACCGCCAATTTTCTTACGCCCAAATAATGATGAATTCATTTAAATGCTATAACTATTCACTAGGAAATCAGGATCTGATAAACGTCCGAAGCAAATACTGTACTATATTATTTTCTGAAATACAAAACTATCGTGTGTGGTATATACTTGATATGCAATTGTTACACATGATCTGCAGATCTTCACGGGACCTCGAATTGCTCAAATTTTATTGGTTGTTTCGCCCGGACATTGCATAGACGTGTATGAAGTTTGCTTGTACCGTAATCGTCCTCGCTACGCTTCGACGCTTCGGACAATTAAATAATAAAGGATTAAGCCTATTTAAAGTTTTCAAAGATAATTTATATTTCTTACATTTCGAAAGTGTTGAGCACTGAGCTTAAGGTTGTACCAAAATAGTATTTGCTAATCCTCTAGTTAAACTCATGCTTATAGTCATTTGATCAAAACACCATTTCTATTTTTTGTAACAAAAGCTAACATTAAATATTACAAAAGTGTATTCCATATCAGCAACCTTCTAATAATATTGAAATGCTTTTCTCTTATCAACTTGATTTCTTTTTCATAACGATGATCAATACCTTCAGCAAGGCTCATATTAGAGCTTTCAATATCATTAAATATCTTGCACTTGCCCTTTTCTATTCCAATTCCGTGATGATAACAATCATCAAGATTATAGATTATATGTTCTTTTTGCATCATTCCTCATCAGTAGCTTTTTGAAAATGTCCATTTGAATAACAATATTCAACTTTTAATAATCCATTAACATCTTTCATATCTATGTTTTATAATACTCGAATGCTTTGTTTTTATCTAATCCTTTTTGATTCATTAATATTTGTCATTCTGTTGATCTTTAATAATACTCAAATGTTTGTTTCTCATATTTTTTTCACAACCAAGTGCAAATATTCCATCAGAATCTCCAATATCAGAAATTTTTGAAAATATTCAAACACTTTGCGATCATTTTTGTCAGTACTAATTTCATAATAATGATATCCAGCTTGACACATTCCTTGAGCATCACTCATATCGACAGATTTTTAATAATACTTGCTCATCCTTATCGATCCCGATTCATTTTTCATAATAAAAACTAACCTGATACATTCCTTCAACAAGAAACATATCATAGAATTTTTGAAAGTTCCAAAAGCTTTGCATTTATCCTTGTTAATCCCCATTCCAAAATAGCAACAATAACACACCAAATATTCCCGCAACATGATCTATGTCGGTAGCTTTGACTCTGATTCAAATTCAATGGCAATAACCAATCATAAATATTCTATTAGCACCGTCCATGTCAGGGAACTTTCTCAAAACATCCGAACGCTTTCTTCCATCCAATTTACGTATTCGCATTGTATGAAAACATTGATTTATTTAACATTAAAAAGCGATAAGCTACGTACGTTCGTACGTACGTATCCATTCAAATAGATTAGTGGCGCAACCAAATTTCAGCAGATCGACCAAAATTCCGGTCGGAATCTATCGGAAGGGGCCGGCATTTACAAATTCTGACTAACCTTGAGTTGCCCAGATGGTTAGTATTACTGCTTAATGCCGGCCTAGCTCCAAAGAATTCCGACCCCAATCCTAAATTTTGGGTTGCTGAATTTGGTCTATCCTTAGTGTGTTTACCGTATTCCGTTCTCCAAAGTACCCGTGTGATTATAATTGAAAAAAATTTAAATCACGAGTATTACGCATCACATGTATAAATAATATTTTAAAAATTGACCGGGTACTTTGGAGAACGGAATACGGTATATTGTCAGCAAATAAAAAAAATGGCATTATAAATTTCTTTTTTTTGATCGATCATTTCATTTCACCCGGGCTAATTTAATCAGTGAAGACAAAAATCGTTATTTAAGACTTATTACTATCAAAATCCTATATTATATAGAATTTAAAAGCCAATCTAATTTCTCTGTTCTTAGTATATTATATTAACATTAATTTAACAAATTTGATTGGTTTTTGATTTTAACACTATTGATCGCAAATGGGATATATTTGGTTTAATTATGAACCCTAATTCTCAATTCCCAAAAATACAAACTACATAGTAATGTCTTAATTCAATAAAAAAAAAAACAAAGGATTGGGCCGAAAGTTACTTTCTGTACCATAATTGAGTAGTCTGCAAAGTAAAAAGATTAATTTAATAACAGAATTAATGTTAGAATTTTACTCATCGATATCACAGTGGCATACCCTTGATCTTCTCATCTTTTTCTGTAATTGAAGTACACCATATAACAATGCCTCTGCCGTTGGTGGACATCCTGGAACGTAAATATCAACAGGTACAATTCTGTCGCAACTGGATGAACAAATTATATATAATGAGCAGTTTGGATAGGAAAAACCATTTAAAAATTCAACGTTTACCCTCTAACAACGCTATAAGAATAATGGTAATATCCACCACCATTCGCACATGAACCCATAGAAATAACCCAACGAGGTTCGGGCATCTATTCAGGTAAAGATACAATATGTCTAAATATATTTTTTCCAATAAACCATAAAGAATGTTCAAGAAAATACTTGCCTGATCATACACCTTCCTCAATGCGGGAGCCATCTTATTAGTTAAAGTGCCAGCGACTATCATGACGTCCGATTGACGTGGAGAAGCTCGGAAAACAATTCCAAGACGGTCCTGATCGTATCTTGCTGCTGCCATGTGCATCATTTCGACTAAAAGATTCGTAAATAAAACTTAAACGACGTATTTAAATAAATTTATTAAAGATACGAAATAAATGAAGCAAGGATTTACCGGCACAACAGGCTAAACCGAAAGTCTAATGTGCAAAAAAAAAAGGTCAATTTATGATACAATATTATTAGTCCCTGAGACTTTACTTCAGATAAATACCATTGGCCAAATAGAGCCTTGGCGAGCATAATTCACTACTTTATCAACAGTTGACAACACGTATTCTAAGAAAAAAAAATATGTTATCATATAAGGAATATTCGTAATAAAAAATTGATATATAGAAATATAAACAAATACCAGCAGTATTGGCGGGTTGGGCAAGAGCGAAATCACCAGGAGTTGATTTTTTGACAGCACTTGCAGGCGATGAATCCGGAGTGATGGTAGTTCTGCCTTCAGTCGACAGATTTCGGACCGTTATATCTAAAAATACAAGGTTGTGTTTGAAAGATCGGAACTTTCGATTATCGCTTTTTCGAATTAGTGCGATAATCGAATTTTATAAATTTTGAGTCTTGATGGGTACTGAATGCTACATTATAGTCCGTTATGTTATCAATAAAATATTACAGAATTTGATGATCAGGCCGTAATAATATGATTATTAACGTGCAGAACACAAATGTAGTATTCAGTAATCATTGGAACTCAAAAAATTTATTGTACTAATTCGGAGAGAGCGATAATAGTAAAAAGCTGTTATTTTACTCCCTAGCATTTATCCTGATTTCCTTTCTTTTTACAGGAAAGCAACTGTAATAAATAAGGATTTATATCGCCTACCTGTCCTTAACGGTATCAAATTTCGTAAAATGACTTTCGAAGCAAACATGAGTAAAACGAAATTAAATCATTTAATTAACGATAAAATTTATAGATCCAATGCTAATGCTAGCATTCGTCTTATTGGCTGATGTAAATAATGATTTGATGATAAAATTTGTATTTACTGAGCATTGAAGAAGTTCGTTTTGATTGGCTAAAATTAGAATAAATATGATTGGCGACGATCAAGCATGACGGAATATTGGCTATCACGTTTAATGATTTTCATCAAACATGATTGGCTAAGTGCGAATGTTACATAGAACTTATTATAGCGAGTAAAGATGTGTCATATGGTAGCATACTAAAAACCTTATTGTCTTTAGTAAAGCTTTACTAGTTTATTTTTTGGTCGTAATGCAATAAAAACCTAAAAACACTTTTACAAAGTGCAAAGTTTATAGCAAATAGTATTTTACAGTATTATTGCATTTACAATTGTATTGAACTAACAGTTCTGTTATTCGGATATTTTTTAGTTTTCCTAGTTATCAATAGTTTATTTGGTTGAT